GTAATATTGCCCCTCTCCACCTACTTCTCCATCACCAGTGAGGGTTTTCCTGTGGGATGCTTTCCTCCACAGTCAAATACACAATGTTGTGAAATTTAAGGACATTTGGCAAGCAAGTAAACAAACAAACAAACACAGCAACAGCATCTGCTATCTGTCTATTCTGTTGTTAACTAAACAACATGTACACCAGTCCGGCTGATTAGGCTTCATCTGCACTCTGTGGAGCCAGAATAGCACTCAGTTGCCTCAGCAGTGTGGTTAGGTGAAGGTCTGAAGTCTAGTGTGCCCAGAAGTATTCTACCCTAAAATGTGACTTTTTGAAGGCACCCCTGACACAGAACCCTGGATAAAGGACTCAGACTAAGGCAAGAGATGATTTACTCCTGGATTCTCAGTAATTGAGCCTGCTTGGTGGATTGCTGACAGGCAGGTTATAGCCCTACAAACATCTGCATTAGTTACTTGTCTCTTGGCTGCAAGACAAGAGGAACTTAGCGGAGGAAGCATTGATTTTGGTGCAGTTCGAGTGTACCATCCATCAAGGAAGTAGAGACTTGAGGCAGCTGTTCCCACAGATCTGCATCCAGAGGAGATGAGTGCTGATACTTGGCTTTATTCCTCCTTTGTTGTCAGTCCAGCGTCCCAGCCCACAGAGTGGTACCCCCACATTCAGGGTGAATTTTGCACCTCAGTTAACCATACCTAGAAAATCCCACATGGACATGCCCAGAGATCATAGATACCAGGGGTTCTACACCAGGGTTGTGATCAGCATAGATATCAGCAGTTCTACACCAGAGTTATGATCAGCATGGACACCAGGGGTCTACACCAGGGTTATGATCAGCATAGACACCAGGGGTCTACACCAGGGTTACAAGCAGCATAGACACCAGGAGTTTCTACACAAGGATTAAGAACAGTGAAGAATTTATGCTTGGCCAGGGCCATTTATGTCCCTATATCATGAAACCAAACCAAAACAACAACAATTAAAAACAAACAAACACAACAAGTAATAACTCTGGTTAGAGAACAGCGAGGACATTTTCATCTCCTGTTACTGTGATAAATTATCCTGACAAAAGCAACTTAAAGCAGAAAGGTTTTGGTCTGGTTCATTTGAGGGCACACCCATCGTGTCAGGTCTGGTTCATTTGAGGGCACACCCATCGTGTCAGGCGGGGAAGATGTGACAGGAGGGATGTGTGCAGCTGCTCACACGGCATCTGCAGTCAGAATGCTGTGCCCAGATCGCAACCCCCAGAGAGACCACCCAAGACAAGCATACCAGAATGCAAAAGCAAGGCTTTAATTAGGGATATCCAAGAGCAATACAAGCCTAGGCAGGGACTTCGTCCAACGCATCCAATGCAGTGGAGGCTGGAGGAAGTGCCCAGCCTGAATTGTGCACAGCTTTTAAAGGCAAAAACCACAAGATTACAATAGCAGGGGATTTCCATACATGTACATTTCTAATTGGGTTGTTTCTAGGGACTTTCCAGAAATCACAGTTTAATCTCACTTCTAAGGGAGTGGTTGCCTATCACCATCACTGTTTCTCATTGGCTGCCCTCAGGTGGGGACATTCTGTGGTTAAACAATCACCATGGAGACCAGGATTGGGACATTCCATGGTCACACTGTCACCATCACATGATTAACTTGTTATTCTGTAAAAATGGAGGAGCTTTGGAGAGACAGGATGCAGCTGTTCACTGGGCATCTGCAGTTAGGAACCAGAGAGAGATGAATGCTGGGTCTCAGCTTTGGATTTGTAATAACATCTAGGACCCCATCCCTGAAAATGGTGCCACCAGCAGTGCGTCTTCCCACCACAATGAACCCAATCAAGGCCACCTCTCAGAGGCATGCCCAGAGGCTTGTCCCTGGTGCGATTCTGGATCACTAGGCTGCTTTAGGATTGCACTGTGAACTGCTATGGGTGAGAGATTGCTCCCCTCTGCACACAGCTGAGGCCAGGAACAGGGTAGGGTCAGTGGGTGAAAAATGTCTAAGAGGAAAACCGAGGGCCAAGGAGTTGAGGCTAAACCAACTTAACAGGATTCTGACTGCAGACAGGCAGGTGACCAGCCCTCATGTGAGAGAAGGTGGAGCCTGATCCGACGTGCTGGTGTAGCAGCTGCTGTCGAAGGTAGGAGTCTACTAAACTCACATGGTACAGGGATACGGGTCTTCCCTACAACTTGGTTTTATCAGGTTATACATTGATGGGCCAGAGGAGCCACGCTGGACTCAAGTCTCATCAAGCAGAGACTCCATGGGCTAGACCACGTGGGGTCTTACATTGGACTGAGATATACAAGACGGCACTGTCAACCACAGTCAATAAATGCATGGATCCTAGCTTGCTTTCTTCCTTCACAGTTCAAGGTCTAACCTATGGAATAATGGCACCTACAGCATGCTGTGTCTTCCAACATCATTTAACAATTGACAGTCCCATTGGGTAACCTGATACAAATGATTCCTCATTGAGACTGTCTTGTCAGATAATTCTAGGATGTGTCAAACTGACAGTTAAAACTGACCAGCACATAGCTGTTGGGGGAGGGGGCGTATGAAGGGCTTGGGGATCTTTAATATTGATAAAAATTACAGACAGTTTTTTTCTGTTTCATGTCTCTTGGAATTTCCCATTTTCTATGGTGAGAAACTTTCCTTGATAACAAAATATTCTCTAAAAGAAGTATATGACCAGGCATGGTGGTTCACACCTATAATCCTAGCACTTGGGAAACTGAGGCAGGAAGATTGTTAGAACTTAGAGACTAGCCTGTACTACAGCAAGGGTTCTTGTCTCAAAATGAACAACAAACAATTATGTCCTAGGTACATCATTGCTGTTTGACAGGTATTTGTTGTATGTGTTAAAAAGAATTTCTCACCAAAAGGCAAGATGAAGGCTATCCTGAAGATACAAGAGTGACCTTGGCAAGATGTTTGCTTTGCTCCAGTGATCTGAGGGGCCAGTTGGATGCTTCTGTAAAGGAGCATTGCAGATGAAGGTGTGCTTCTTTTGTTCTTGTTTTTCTTTTTCCAAAGTGGAAGGAAATCGGTATAAAGCAGGCTTTGCACATCTGTAAGTGACTTGCCATTCTCAGGGAGCTTCAGCAGAGCTGGGAGATGGCAACTGGAGCCATCAGATAGCCTGGGATGCCATGCTGCAGGCAATGCAGTTTTCCACAGAAACATATTTTTTCTTACAAACGGGTGACTCATTGGTATCATCTTGACATGCAGAGGAGATGAACGTGAATCAATAGAAATACGTGTAAGTTGGAATTCAGGGTGCAAGATAGCAATGACCGTCTTAAGCCCCGTCCTTGTGTTCCCTGACTATTCTGCAAAGTCACAGGGCTGTGATTGCTTTCCTTGAGGCTGCAGGGAGCGAACACAGGGCACAAGCCACCCTGGGGATTGTTATCCCACACTGGGTACATTTCTACTCAAAGCAGGCTTATCAGTAGCAGCAGCCACTCCAGACTTGTGCTCATATTTGTTAGATTTCATGGGCAGTCATGGATCCTGCTCCCCATGTGCTCATTTTACAAGCCAAAACCTGTCCTGATGCTCTATTCACAACTGCTGGCACAGGACCTGCAGGAAGCCTGAGCCCGCTGGGGTATTTCCACTGCCTGCCTGATGACCTGGCATGGTGTTCACATTTAGTCTGCTGTTAGCAACTGTGCATTGGCCGTGTGGCTGGTCAGAAGGAACTGGCCCTGCTTGGCACTTGCTTGTTCCTTTGGGAATTAAGGTTCTTTGCAGGCAGGAGTGGAACAGACAGCTAGTGTCCTCGACAGGTTTGTGTTCAGTAAAATCTACTTAAATGACAGAATGTTTAAATCTTATGTCTGTTTATTAAATTACTCAAAAGAGGAGGCACTGGTCTAGGGCTTCATATGCAATATTCCCAATTGCTATAATGAAATAGAAAACTTAATGCCCATTTGCCCACCTACCTATACGATATCTACCCATCTGTCTATATAGACACACTCACCTATTCATCCATCCACCCATTCACACATACATATACTTATCCATCTACCCACCTTTCCACCCACCACACATGTATTCACTGTTCACTGGATGCCATTCTCTGAACCAGGAATTTTGGTAGGCACACAAGGAAGTTTTTATGGTTATCTCTCCCTTTTTCTTTACAAGGCTCTACGGTGAAAAGTTTGCCTTGAATTTCAGAGGAGACGTAGGTCTTGGATTTTGGAGCACTTTGGCAATTGTAAGTTTAGGAACCCTTGAGATAGACTAACTGCACTCTATAATATGTGATAGACATGAACCTGTGGGGGCAAGGAGGGAATGTTATGGTTTATATCTGAGAGGTTTCTCAAAGGCGCATAATACATGGTTACAGGCTTGATTGACAGCATACATCCGCTCATCCATCCAAAAGATGGATGCCTTGGATACGAAGGTACCAAAGACCTTGCCTTCAGTCAGTTCTAGATAAGTATCTATTTCAAAGGCTTCTCTCCATGTTTGCTGGGGTGGATGGGCAGTGAGGGCAGGGACCTCTGTCTCCCTTTTATCCCTGATGTGTCCCTATATACACACAACAATATTTAATTCAGAGTTGGGTTTCAGTAAGCCTTTGTTGAGTGAATGAGTAAGTGGATGAATGAATGAATGAGCAGATGAGTGAGTGAACAAATGAATGAAATAATATGGTGTCCCTCAGCTATGGGCAGTTTTGACCCAGATTGTGGGTCTTTATGTTGGGGTGCGAAGGTTGTTTTAAGCCGCACACACTCCACCTTTAATGGTTTACAGAGATGAGCCAGCACAGCTCCCTTTATCTGAGCAGGCAGCCCCGCATCTGAGGAATGAGGCTGCTTGCACCCCTCCTCGGGGTAGACATATTCCCAGAAGGTGGGCTGTAAATTACATCGACACCAGTTTCCTTCTCAGGGTGCTGGCAAGGTCCTGAAAGAGACAGAGAAGCCACTCAGGCCTGGGCAGGCATTATCACAGAGTTGCTTATCTCTGGCTTGTTAGTGAACATCCACTTATCTTTCTAGAGACTCATTTCCCCTATAAATGCCTTCACCTGTCAAGAAGATCTTGTGGGGCCCATCCTTCCCCTGCCCATCATAGACATTCACACTCATGATTGACATCTCTAAAAGCAAGGTTAACAAGAGAAAGCAAACTTGTGTGTCAGGTCAGAGAGGTGCACACATACATGTGCGTATGTGTGCGTGTGTCTGTGTTCTCCCTATGTGTGCACTACTGGAGACCAGGTGCCCTCCTTGGTGGCACTCTACATTGCTCTTTGAGTTGGAGTGTCTCCCTGAACCTGCAGTTAGTTAACCATTTCAGCTATACTGGCTGGCCGTGAGTCCCAGGAATCTGTCTATCTCCTCACCTCCCCCACACCCACTTCCTATCCCATCAGCCCCTCACCTCCCCCACACCCACTTCCTATCCCATCAGCCCCTCACCTCCCCCACACCCACTTCCTAACACATCAGGGCCCTCACCTCTCCCACACCCACTTCCTATCCCATCAGCCCCTCACCTCCCCCACACCTACTTCCTATCACATCAGCCCCTCACCTCCCCCAGACTCACTTCCTACCCATCAGCCCCTCACCTCCTCCACACCCACTTCCTGTTACATCAGCCCCTCACCTCCCCCACACCCACTTCCTATCCCATCAGCCCCTCACCTCACCCACACTCACTTCCTATCCCATCAGCCCCTCACCTCCCCCACACTCACTTCCTATCCCATCAGCCCCTCACCTCCCCCACACCATTCTCTCCACCCCATCCGCCTTTTCCCACTCCATCATCACCTCCCCTTCACAGCCCACATCCCTAATAAACAGTGTAAATGCACCAATGAAGGGCCGCTCCCTCCTGTCGTCAGTTAGGAGCTCAAGTGTGGCACCTCTGATCCCTTTGTCCCTTGTTCTTAATTGATCAGAAGAGAAGACAGCTGAAGTTAATCCCCCTCCACATTATCTGACTGTTATGTTCTCTCTTTACACCTTCTCAAGGACTTTAATCCCTAATTAGCCCCACTCTTGGATGTTTTTAAGCAAGCAACTTCTCACCATTTAAAAATGAGGTGCGAGTGCTTAATCTTAAATACAATTCCTTTGTCCACACATCTTCTTTCCAGCTGCCACCCAAGTATCTGCGGTTCATGTCTCTCTTCTAAGACCGGGCTCACTCTGCCTCTTCCTCCCATGGTTGTCCTTCTCTTCTCACCAGGAACTGCACATCCGGGACACTCAACTCGAGCCCTGCCAGTCCTGCTCCTTTACCCAAATGCCACCTCCCTCCCTTTGTGGCCAGGCTTCTGGTGCAGAAGACCCCACCTGTCCTCTGCATCACAAAGTCTGTATTCTGGCTCAGACGGTTCTGAATTACTAATGTGTGCATCTCCCTAGGTCAGAGCAGGCTCAGCTGGCTGGCAGACACAAGCCCCAAGCTTACCTACAAGGCTGGACATCTGAGAGAACTGTGCCTACCCACAGGCTGTTTGGTCTTTGAGATGACTTTCTGCTTCGGTCCCGAGGATCAAACTCGGGCCCTTGCTGGCTAACATGCACAGGGTGCATGAACAGCCACAGAGTCACATCCCCAGCACCTATTACTTTGTCTTTTATTGACATCATCTGTAACAATATGAAAGACAAGACAGGGCAGGATGACCCCAGAAGCTGCTGTTATAAGATGGAGGGATATGCCTTCACGTTTATCTCTTGCATCTTAAGCCTCAGTTCCTCAGAGTCCTCCAATATGGCTTTATTTGGAGGTGAGGTCCTTAGAAATGTAATCAAGGTAGATCAAGACCATTTGGTTGGGTCTAATATGCCCAATATTCTCAGAAGAAAAAGAGACTGGAAAATAGATGGCCAGGTGTGGACATGGGTCAAAGGCAGAGTTCTCAGGAGTCAGCCCACATCTTGCACCATGGACTCCCACCCTCAGAACTCAAAGACAGGACTTGTCTGTTGTTGAAGGCCCTTTCAGACCCCACAGGGGCTTCCTCCTGTCCTAATCAGATGTGTCTGGAAGAGCTCAGTGATATGATGATGAAGCCACGTTGCTCGGATACCCAGGGAGAGAATCCATGTCACGAACACAGTTAATCACTGAGCATGCCCACTGAGAAATACCACCATCCCATAGACTGTGTCTGATCAATTGATGCTCAGAAACACCGCTGACGGAGTGTGGAGTCAGAAGGGTACCACGTACACCCCGGCTGGGAAATGCAGACTAACATAGCCGACGGCAGCTCACCGTGGCTGCAGGGCAGAAACAAAAATATCGTTCAAAGGGCTATTTCTTGTGGTGCCCTCCCAATCAGGCCGAGCATGGAATGTGTTCCCTGGTGTCTGCAGGAGGACCCTGTGCACAAATTATAAAAGGGCTTATGGTTACCAAGGAAAATGTTTCCTATAGTATAATTTTATCTATAAACAAGCTGTGGGGAGAAAGTAGGATTGACCCAAATGAACATTCCAGAAACAGTCAGAGCCCTGCTGAGAAGAAGGTGAGGTATGAGTCAGGAGGAATCTTCTGGAAATAAGCTGAGAGGAAAGCAGCCTCTTGAGTCCAGACTCAGAGGGACAGTCCAGCCCTGACACCTCCTCTGTCCTTTCTTCTCAGAGGACACGTGGGAGAGACAACCTTGTTGTCTTCCAGGCAGGGAACCCACACACCTGCTCAGAGAGGATGCAGCTGTGTGGGCCCCAGCTGGGTTTCCCTGGACACCTGCGGGCAAGCAGTCATGTCCATATCCTGGAGCCTTGCCCAGCCTGTGCCTGGAGGGCTTCACTGGGGAAGATGAAACTGTAGAGTAGATGGTGATTTTCCAGAAGGTTGTGAGACCTTTAAAGTCCATGAGCCACTGGTGAGATTTCTTCTCCCAGGCCAGAGCAGGGCATCGTTGCATGAGGGTCCTGGAGTGTCTTGAGGCCTGTGAGGGTCAGGGCTGTGTGGGAGGAACGTGGCTCCAACCTGGGGTTTTCTGGGGGCCTTGGGTAGGTTCTTCCGCCAGTTGTTTGTTTGTTTGTTTGTTTGTTTATTTGTTTTGTTTAACCTGACTCAGATAAAGGATGCACTTTACAGCAGTGATCTCAGCAGCTCTGGGCCTTTGTTCCTGTGCGAGGAGATGGTGCACACATAAAAGAAAGGGAATGTAGAGAAGCCTGTGTATCTGCTGGACACCTCTGCAGAGAGCACTCACCTCTCGGCCTTCTCAGATTCCGCAATCTCCTGGCTTGGTTAATCTGAACCTTTATTGCAGAGGTCAGGAGTTACCAGTACGAACTTGGAGAATGCCTGTTTCTGATGGCTGGAATTCTCATTTGGAATGCACAGCAGACTCCAACCCACCAGGTAAGGGTGTGAGCTGTGACTGTTCCCAGTGCTTATTGCAGTTCCCTGTTCTTCTCTCACACTCTTTCTCCTTCCCCTTCTCTTCTTCCCCCATCTCTTCCTCTTTTCTCCTTCTCCCTCTTCTTTCTCCCCTTCCTCCTCCTCTCCTTCCTCCCTTCCTTCTCCCTCCTCCTCTCCCTCCTCTTCTCCCTCCTCACTTCCTTCTCCCTCCTCCCTTCCTTCTCCCTCCTCCTCTCCCTCCTCTTCTCCCTCCTCTCTTCCTTCTCCCTCCTCCCTTCCTTCTCCCTCCTCCTCCCCTCCTCTCCCTCCTCCCTTCCTTCTCCCTCCTCCTCCCCTCCTCTCCCTCCTCCCTTCCTTTTCCCTCCTCCCCCCCCTTTGGTGTCCTATCACCTTCAAAACAACAGAAGGAGGAGCTGGAGAATGAAGATAAAAGGGCACTCCACTGCCTTCCCGTACAGAGGCTGGAGGAGGTTGACTACTGTCACACCACACTGCCATGTATTAACCAGTCCCACGTGCCCCAAGTATCAAGGGGCACATCTCACAGGACATGTCATGGTATTGTGTTCCCCAAAATATTGTGCACTCCAATAAACTTATCTGGTGTTAGAGACAGAACAGTCACAATATTAAACATAGAGGTTAGGCAGTGGTAGCACACGCCTTTAATCCTAGCATTCCAGAGGCAGAGATCCATCTGGATCCTGTGAGTTCAAGGATACAACCAGGCATGGTGATTCACACCTTTAATCCCAGAAAGTGAGACTTTAATCCCAGGGAGTGGTGGTAGAAAGCAAAAAGGTATATAAGTCGTGAGGACCAGAAACTAGAAGCTTTTGGCTGGTTAAGTGTTCAGGCTTTCGAGAAGCACAGTTCAGCTGAGATCCATTCAGATGAGGACTCAGAGGCTTCCAGTCTGAGGAAACAGGACCAGCTGAGGAACTGGCAAGGTGAGGTAGCTGTGGCTTGTTCTGTTTCTCTGATCTTCCAGCATTTACCCCAATACCTGGCTCCAGGTTTGTTTTTATTAATAAGACCTTCTAACAATTCTGCTACAAGAACACTTAATAATTAGGCCCAATGTCCTGGGGAAGTCTCCATCTGCCCATTTACCCAAGAGTGTGCTCTGGATGTCCCAGACACCTGCCCCTCAGTCCAAATCACAGGGTGAATGGGGTCTTGTCCACCTAACTTGGCGATGTAAACGGACCTCTGCCTTCTTATTGTACAGCACCCCAGCTCTTTTAAGGGAGTTTAAAAAGAAGAGACCTTGCTTTATCTGGCAGAGGGGTTGACACTTTACTTCAGACCCCCACAGTGCTGCTATGGGCATTGGTGCCAATCAGCCTCTTGTTGAAGGACCATTAGACCTCATGCCTTTCCCAAAGCTCCCCAGAACCTCGTGGGAAGCATTTATTCTAGACAGCTGGAATCATGTCCGCCTCCCCCATGGCCTCAAAGGGGTCTGTCCTTACACTGGCTGTGCCTCAACTGGCCTTTTGAGTTCATATAGGCCCTGTGTCCTTGCAGAAGCCAGCCCTCAAGCTCAGTCCACAAGGGCAGTTATGGCACTGGAGGGCCTAGACAGAGTCCAGTGGCCCTGAGAGGGTGACTGCTGCCCTGGGACTCAGAGCCCAGGCATTCCATATGCACCATCCCCCAGGGCTGAGGGTCCCAGAGCTGTGGGCTACAGATGCAGTCTTGGAAAACCAAGCTCTTTCTCCAAGTGACACAGAGGAGTTGAAATAGATGCCCCCCCTTCCAGTGTGGGAGGTTAGGAGTGGGCACCGAGCCTGATGAATTGAGAGGAGAAAGTAAGCTCCTCTGACAGGGCTGTGAGGAAAGATGTGTGCAGGAAGAGATTCATTTCCTCAAGCAAACATAACCCAGGGTGTTTTTCTTATAGGCTGTATTCATTTACTCAGACTGAGAAAATAATTTCCTATTATTGTTCCCTATCCTAAGTCACATTCAGAGTGACTTTATCAAGCCCAGATAAGAATGGGGGGGGGCGGTTGAGCTAGAGAAAACTGAGATTCTGTGTGTGGAGTCCGGAGAGTCATCTTAATATGAATGGCTTGAAGAGCCTGTTGACGTTAATGAGCTCATTGTGATTGCCTACAACAATGGCACGTCCATCAAGCCAGAGATGGACTCAGAGCCCAGAATTTCAGCATTTCCTGAGCAACCCCCAGCTTACGGCTTATCTATTACTCTTTCAAAGTGTAGCAGTCTTAAAAAGTTTCTTGTTTTTAATAGTTTTTAATTATGTGAATAGAGGTGTGCATGTGAGTGCAGTGCCCCCAGAGGCCAGGAGAGAGTGTTGGATCCCATGGAACTGGATGTATAGTTATGAGCCACCTGGGAACCACACTTGGGTCCTCTGCAGGGGCAGTGTGCACTTAAACAGCTGAGCCGTCTCTTCAGCCCGTAGTCTATTTTTCTAAGTGAGGATGGACCGAGTCTTTCACCTGTGTGCTCAGCTGAGCTCTCTCGATGGCTCGTCTCTTCATTTCAGTTATGGATGCCCATACCTGTTATGCACCTTCAGGCTCCCACCTGCACCCTCACCCACCCTGGAGGCCGAGCAGTCTCCAGACTTGAGATATTCTTGGTGGGAAAATATTACAACTATATTTTATATTCAAGTTGTTTCATTTTAAAGCAACAATAAATGACTTCAGCTGGGGCTAAGCTGGTAGCATGCTTGACTAGCGTTGTGTAAACTAGGCATGGCAGGACACTTCTGTCACCAATGGTTGGGAGGCAGAGGGTCAGTGATGTAGCAAGTATGAGTCCAGTTTGGGCTACGCGAGACCTGTAAATAGATAGATAGATGTCTCAACCCGAACCTGGATTTTCCAAGCTCTTGTCACAAACACTATGTTGAACTATATCAGGTGAGGTAAAACTTTCTGCTTACCCTAAAAGGCTAATAAAATATCAAGTCTTCCCTTTAATGTCAGGATCAGAGGAATTTGATTAATCAGTTGCTTTGAAGGCTGGTCTCTGAAGAGGCTCCTCTACCCCCCCCCTTTATGATAGCACTCTATCAGTCTGTCTGTCTATCTACCTATCTATCTACCTATCTATCATCTATTTGCATATCTATCATCTATCTATCTATCATCTATATCTCATACTCACTTAAAACGGAGACTTATTTCTCTTTATTTTATGTGTTATGGGTGTTTGTTTGCTTGTGTATCTGTGCATTGTGTGCATTCCTTGTGCCCTTGGAAACCAGAAGAAGACATTGGTGCCCCTGGACCTGGAGTTATGGTTGGAAGCAATCATGTGGGTCCTGGGAATTAAACCTAGATCTGCTGGAAGAGCAGCTGGTGTTCTTCACCACTGAGTCATCTCTCTAGCTCCTCATTCTCCCCCTTAACTGAAGCTCCTCTAGGCTTTAAAGAGGAAACCTCTCCTTCTCTTTCCGGCCCTACCATGCTCTGGTCTCTGTATATTCTACTGTTTCTGTCTAATGTTCTCTTCCCTCACTAGACCCCATGATGGCCTCAAGGCTCTTTCTCTAACAAACTATCTTCTGGAGGGAATTGTGTGTCAGCTTCCTTTCTGGACAAACTACTGATGATTCTCTCCTTTCAACATGTTTAACAATAATTAATTGATTAATTACATTATATTAGGGTGACTACTAATAATCAAACGGTAGTGATGAGGGCATTGGTGCAAAGCAGACTTTCTGCTCCCAAAGAGCCTCAGCTCTGTTTCCTCCTGAGTCTCAAACAGGGTTGGGGAGGTGTCCAACCCCCAATTCTGCTCTAACCTGAGATTTTCCAGAGTCAAGGTCAAGACAAGAAAACTTGACAAAGAGGACATTGACTATCAAGATATAGCGTAGGCTGGGTCTGTTCCCACCTAGAGATGCCAGCCCGTGACTCCAGCTGGCTCCCAACTTCCTGTTCAAGGACAGGGAAAAGGATGTGGATCAACAAAGCCTGACTGGCTGTGTCCTCTTCCTGTTGCTGGTTATTCAGTTGTACGTTGGTAGAGTCTGTCTCCATCCCTGCCTCCTCTCCTCCCCTCCCCTCCCCTCTTTTTCCTATCCCATCCCTGCTCATACCCTACCCTTGCGCTGTCCTGATGTAGTTTATGGGGTATTGTGATTGCCTGGAGAGGTGTTGCTGCATCCAGCAAAAATCGGCGTTTTTCTGCAAAACCTTGTGTTTCATCCAATTAACCTTTATCTTGTTTGTTGTAGTAATTTGCACAGCCCGGAGCCATGGCAAGAAAGAGGTTCCCTTTGCCTTAGCCAGCATAGCCAGTCACTCTCTCAGGAGCAGCTGACCTCAGCCATCAGGACAGAGCTCCCCTCCCTCCCCCCTCCCTCCCCCACATGCACAGGGTGGAGCCTCCCTCCCTCCCTCCCCCACATGCACCTGCCCCCACTCCAGCTCACATTAATCTCCCCCAGTGGTTGAGGGGATGCTGAGAAGTCTCTGGTGGAACCTCCTGGATAGAGTCCAGGGACATACAAGGGTGAGGCCCAAGAACCTGCATTGTTTCAGAACTTTCTGGGGCCTGAGCTGCCCCCAGATCATGACTGGCAGACACTGGGACTCATTCTGGAGGGCGCTATGCAGGATTCCAGAAGGCTTCCCAGACCTGACTGCTGTGGTGAACTTGACAAGTTGACATCAACCTGGCAAAACAGCAGAAACGCAGCAGGTTACATGAGGTTTCAACCCTCCCTCTTCCTCTCTCTCATCTCCCTCTCTCTCCTCCACCCTCTGTCCTTTCTCTCCTCTTTCCTCTCTCCCTGTCTCTCCTCTCCCTTCTCCCCTCCCTCACCCTTTCTATCTCTTCTCTTTCTTTTTTTATTCTTCTCTCTCTGTGTCTCCTTGTTTCTGTCTCTCTTTCTCTGTGTCTCTGTATCTCTATTTCAGTCTCTCTATCTCTCTCTCTTTGTGTCTGTCTCTATCTCTGTCCCTGTCTATCTGTCTGTCTTGTCTCTCTGGAGCCCTGGCACCCTGGAG